TCCTCTTCAGTTAGCAGCAGTGTCCTGGGAATCCAATGTGCCTGGAGGCCAAAGCCAAATCCCTGAGCTCCTAAGGCTTTCCATGCTCACAACCTTCTCTGCCCTCTACCCCAGCCAAATCCTCCCATCAAGCCTACCTGTATTCACACCTTTCTGTCACCAGTACTTCTTACTTTCATTCTTGACCACCTCCTCCCACCAAGACCACTGCCCATTCGAAATTTCCCCTGGAAATCAAATCCCCACAGCTCCAAACCCACCACCACCCTGCTGGGTGTTTCTCTAGCTAAAAATGATGAACCAAAAGTAATCAGAACAACTGGCTTCAGTTTAGATGCTTTAATATCACTTCTGGTTAACCCCCCCCCAGCAAGAAGGACACTGGGAGTGGTTGAGGATGAAGGAGTTGAGTTGGTGGGCCCTCCAGCCTCTGAGACCCATTCATCATCAGTTGTCATTGGCTTCTTCTGGTACCTCATCAACCCCTGAGTTGGCGTCCTCTTTGAAGAGTTCCTGAAGATGCTCGTTGTTCTGTACTACTCGATAAACATGCTCTGGGGTGATGCGCTTCCTGCCGTTGATGTGGGCCTCCTCGCCAGCCAACTCAAGAATGTTAGATGTCAGGTACTCGAGTATACCGGCGAGGAACACGGGTGCAGAAGAGCTCAGGCGCCGGGAATAGTTCCCCTCCCGCAAGAAGCGGTCTACCCTGCTGACGGGAAATTGAAGCTCGGCTCTTGCTGAACGAGTTATGTTTCGTCTTCGCTTCTTCCCAGCCATGGCGCCTATATGATGGTTTTGGCTCAACTTCACCCTTCTTCTGGCCTGGGTCTCTCAAAATGACTAACCCTCTTAACTGCCCATGTATTTATCTTTGCTCCTCAGGAGAGGACTTTGTTACAACATAGACTTTATGATGTCACTGGTGTATACTGAGCTCTGGTATTCAGTGCAGAAATGCCCATATTAGGAAATTTCTCACCTTAGTGAATAAATCCTCTTTTTCCCTTTCCCATTTTCATTTGTGTATTGTGCATACACATGTGTGCATGGTGTGTGTGTGTTTGTGTTTGTGTGTGTGTGGCCTGAAGTTGATATGTGGAATCATCCTCGATCATCATTCTTGATCACTCTTCTGTCTTACTTACTGAGATAAGATCTCTCTATCCAAGCCAGAACTCACAAATACAGTTTTACTAGCCACCTGGCTTGAGAGATCCTGCCTTAGCATTTCAAAGCTGGAATTACAGGCAAGGTACCAAGCCCACCTGGTGATATCCTCTTTTTTTGGGTGGGGGGGAGGTTGAGACAGGGTTTCTCTGTGTAGCTTTGGAGCTTGTCCGGGAATTCATTCTGTAGACCAGGCTGCCTCCCGAGTGCTAGGATTAAAGGCGTGCACCACCAATGCCCAGCAAGGTTATATCCTCTTTTTATGGGAACGTTTTCTATTTGATTTTTGTATTCTGACAAGATCTATGTGTCAATGGAAAACTTCTGCCCATGGGATGTGCAACTCCACGTTATGTATCAAACTTAGTTTTGCCTCAATTTACATAGTCACCTCAGTATTCCTAATCAGTATTCCTGTTCCTATTTTTTTACTCTTCTTTGAACTGCTCATCACGTTTGCCACTTAACATCTGGCAGATATTTACCTGTTAAGTATTTAAGGTGTCAGATCTCTTTGAGGATCTGGATTTTACTATTTCAGATAATCTTACCTACCCATTTTGTAGCACATCCACACATATACTTAACCAATTCACTTTACACTAGATATTCTATAGTCATTTCAAGTTCAGTGACAGATATGTACTCCCATGCCTACCCTTTTCAGTACTTCATGTGAATCCCATACATCAACACTGTACAAATTTTATTTTTACCATATATTCATTGCATAAATTAATGGGTTTGTTATGCTATTTCCATCCATATACATATAGTACTTATTTGATCATATTCTTTTAATTTTTTAACATTTATTTGAGAGTGAATGTTATGGCATGCATGTGGGAGTGAGGGAACGATTTGCAGGAACTGATTCTCTCTTTCCACTATGTGGCGATCACTGGGTGTAAAGACACGTGCTCTTAACAGTTCAGTCATCTCTCCAGCCCCAGTGTAATGTTATTTTTGACTATTTTGTTTTCCTGATTTTTTAGTTTAGTATTGCTGTTTTATTTCCTATTCATTTACAGTAGATAAGTTATTCTCCATTGTTAACAACAGTAACTAATAATTTTCTAATTTTGTTTTATTTTCTATTAAAATAAAGTTTACATAACATAAAATCTACCATCTTAGCATTATAAAATGTGATGTCCACTTGCAATGTTATGAAACTATTAGCATCCCACCATGGTCACTGCCTATACTATTCCCATGCTAACTGCTTCCTGGAAATCAGATTGAAATGTCCTTACAGCTCTCATACCTTCAATCCTTTACAGAGTAGCTTTTGGGTATTATGAGATCTGATGCCCCAATCAGCTCTCAAACTATTTTATAGACATGGATGATCTTGAACTTCTGATACTCTTGCCTCCACCTCCCAAATGATGAATTACAGGCATGTGTCACCATATTTGATTTATTCTGTGCTAGTGCAGGGGATCAAACCCAGAGATACAGGCATGTTACGCAAGCAGTCTAGCAACTAAACCACATTCAAGACCCCCACCCCTTTTTTGAGATAGGGTATCTGTCATATATAGCAGGCTGGCACCAAGAAATCTTAGACTTCTGATCTTGTCCCAAAGTGCTTTTAATATAAGTGGGCACCACCACTCTTGGCTTGTGTGGTTCTGTGGACTGAACCCAGAGCTGCCTGCATACTAAGGAAACACACTACCAACTCAGCTATGATAAATTGCTTTTTTTGTTTCTTCTGTCCCTTTCTATGGTATGGAAAACTGAACTGAAGGCCATGTACATGCTAGGTAAGCACTTTCTACTGACCCACATCCCTAGTTCTAACATCTATTGAAAACAGGCATCTCCCTTTACACACCGATTCAAATATTTTTTTTTCTTATATCCCCATGTCTGTTCTTTATCTACCTTTTGAGGTAGTTTTAACATGTTTTCCTCTCATGATCTAAATAGAATCTTTAAATATGTCCATTTTGTGAAAAGAAAAAAAAACATGCCACAGAATCCTGCACTTTGTCCAGACAGCTTCCATGACTATAACTGTGACAGGGCCCTGGACACATTCCAGGCACATCCTATGCTTTGCCTTCATATGTAATTAATTATCAGTCACTCCTTTTCCCTATCTTCAATACTGTTCCAAGAATCCATTCTCACTATTCTATTCCAACACATTATCACTGTCACTTCAGAAATCCTAGCTGCCCACTTACTGTCCTTCCAATTTCTTCCCCTACTGGCTTCCAATTTATTTCCCAGAGTAGTTATTTTCTAACACTAAATGTGCTTATGACACTGTATTGCTTAAAACTCATCAGTGGCTTCCCACTGCATGTAGATTATAATTTTTAAATCCTAAGATGTTCTATACTGCTTTTCTTTTATCTAGCTTCTCTGCCTCATTGGCCATTTTAAAATATAAGTCTATGTTCTGGAAAACGATGACTCATTTCCAAGCTTGGTTAGAATCCACACAGTCTCCTTCACCTTTATTTTGCACAATTTACCAGAAGTAAAACAGATACATGATTAATCATTCAATGCATGTCTGCCATTTTCTTCCAAAGTGACAGGAGCCTGTCCACTTCATTAATACTTTATCCTCAGAGACAAGCACAGAGACTAGAACACAGAGCATACTCAATAAATCCACTACATCCATGAATGAAACTATCCAAATATAATCTTAGCTCACAGTTCCTCTAGTAGGCTGTAGGTATGCTTTCCCTCTTCAGCAAGATGAAAAGAACATCCTCTACTTCACGGGACACTATGAGAAACAAATGCTACCAAGTTCATCACAGTACCTGGCATAAAATATGTTTTCATGGAACAATTATTACAGACTATAGCAGACTACAAAAGGGTACTCTCAAGCCTGCCAAGGCAAATGGTAAGCTGTCTGGACCTCCCCACAGCAGAGCAATCTTACAATTCTAACGTGGGTTTAAGGCCAATATATCCTTCAAGATCCCAGGGACTTGATCATGCTTCTGCTGAAAATTGACTAAACTGAGGGAATCAAAGGATGGCCATCTTATCCAAGATAGAAGCTCACAGGGACAGGGTCTGTTATTCATTAACTATGCAAAAACTTTCTAATAGAACATAATATTATTTATATGAAATAGACAAAAGACAAATCCATAGAAACTGCAAGAAGATTTGTGGTTGCTAAGGGTTAGAAAGCAAGGAAAACAATGACTAATAATTTGTAGGTTTCTTTTTGACATGATGAAAATGTTTTACATTTTAGAATCTAAAATGGTAGATAAAGTTATCTTGGTACAACACTGTAAATATATTAAAACTACTAACTACTAAATTTGCTCTACAAATTAAACTGCAAAAAGAAAGAAAGAAAGAAAGAAAGAAAGAAAGAAAGAAAGAAAGAGAAAAAAAGAAGAACCCTCCAGTTATCATTTAGCTCCATGATTCCTAAGTCATGGTCACCAAAGATGACACAGTTTCACACTTGGAAGCAGTACCATGCTGTGAGAAGCCCAAACTCTCCTCACATGGAAAAGAGGTGAGACTCTAAGAACTCAGTGATGAGTCTTCGATGAATTATAGCTCCCACAAATTTGAGCCACCTCAGCTGGTCCGCACTAGAGCACAGGTGAACTTTTCCTTTTGAGTCCTGGCCAAAATACAGAATCATATGCACCCACCCCTCTCCCCAAATGTTAACATTTTAACTCACTGGGATTCTAGGTAAGTAAACAGAACATAGATTCAGAACAAATGAACATATAAATGCACTTCACCTGAATACAAACTGTTTTGCTTCTCAGTTTGAACCTCAAATGTAAGCAGAAAAATTTTAAAAAAGCATGCATACATACATCTTCCAGTAGTGAAGCTCTGCTGCAAGACGGTGATATAGAGCTGCAGGGTCAGCTGTGGGGCAGAGCCTAGGAAAGCCTGGATCACAGAGGCCCGACTGAAGGCAGAGCGGTGGGTAAACATCTTGCCTTCTGCCTGGCCCACTTCCTTCTCAACCTCCTCTGCAAGGCCATCCTTTGGCATCTGCCGTTTCTTGGTGATGCTCACATAAGGCTCTTCATTCTGGTTGGACTGACAGTAGATGCAAAAGACTTCAAAACATCTAGAAACAAATTTATGAGTCATAGAATTAGTGACTGGCAAAATTCTGTCCTCTTGCAGTCATCCTGTTTTCACTTAGCTTGATTCTCAAACCCTTGCCTGGCTATTCTAAATCACTCACTCTCAGGATCAGTTCTAAGGAGTCAGTCTTCTACAAAGCCTGCAGTAGGACCATTGGGAATTGAGTGAGAATCAAGCAAGGGTGACATTGAAAGACATCAAGGCAAAGAAAATAAAAGAACGAGAAGTAGCTGACACTCTAGAGCTACAGAAAAATGTTTAGTTTTTCTTCCTGATACACATTAGCTGCGCAGCTGTAAGTATTCTGAACTTTCCCCCTCAATAATAAAACAGAGAAAATACCTGTTTTGTCATCCTGCTATGAATGAGGACTAATGGGTGTAAGGCTGTGTGTGTGTATAAATAATCCACATAAAACCAATGCCACAAACCACCCTAATTAAAAAAAAAGTTCAAACTCACTCCTATAATCTCAGCACTCTCTAGACTCTATAATCTAGAGGCTGGGGCAGAATAATTGTCAAAGAGTTCAAGACCAGCTTTGGCTACACAGTGAGCAGATGAGTCTGGGCTACAGTAAGGAAAAGAGGGAGGGAGGGAACATGAAGATGAATAAAGTTGGGTAAGTATAAAGCAGAGTTGCTTGCCAATTAGAATTTCATTGGAAGATCACAATATATTACCTATTTCTTTATCCTAATAAGACCATATAGGCCATGGCTAAATTCAAACATGCCCAGAGCTTGGCAAATGTCTTATTTAAGGACTTCTAAGACTGCTTTAGGGACACATCCTTAACTACTAACTAAAATGGTTCTCCCTAGATAATATTATAAATAGATACTGATGGAAAGAAAAAGTACGGGTGCCTACATACATGAAGCATACATACATACACAGAGAAAGGCACACATAGATGAGGACAGAGGGACTGAGATTGAGTTGATGGATGGAGAGATGAAACAAAATGTTAATTGTAGAATCTATGTTGTAGGCACTTAGGTGTATAAGTCATTAAGATTTTCTACTGTGTGTTTGAAAACTTACATAATAAAGTACTAGGAAAAACAGATTTTCCCTTGGGTTTAAACATTGGCATTTCTGCCCTAAAATTGGCACTTTTCATAACAATCCTACAATGCTGCTAGGTTTTATGGCTTAATTGGATTGACTGAATGTTGTTAACTTTATAATATCACCTGGAGGTATCTATGACAATCTAAGTACATTTATAATTTGTTATAGTAAAATAAGGCCTTAATTTTGATGCATGAAAAGAAATATAACAACCTTTCTGGTGAGCACAAAGTGGACATATTTCATGATTATTACCTTTGTTCACTTGTTTCTAGGGAAAAGAAGTTGTGTGGTTTGTGTATCAGGGGCAGTGTATGTGCTATCTTGTAATATACATTCAATCAAAGATGTTTGAATATATCACATCGACATGGCAATGTAGTCTAATTTGTTTAGAAGAAACAATAACACTTAAGTTTAGTTCATGAATTCAAGCCACTTCCTCCAAAACTGAAACCTTTGACTGACGAATGAACACCCCTTAAAACTGTTGGGCCATCAAAAGTGGCAAGCTGTAGAAGAGAGAATAAAATGATCACGATATTTATTCTCAAAGGGGTGATGATAGCACGTGTACTTTATTAAAATAGCTTGAAAACTCCCATTCCATTCATTCAGAGGTGCTCTGAATGGGATAAGGGGGCATATATAAAATAAATACGTAACGAAACAATATTTATGTTGTACTTTTCATTCCCATGACAGTTTCTGATGCACCAGCTCATAAAGAAATATTGCTGGGCTGGAGAGATAGCTCAGCCATTAGGAGCACTGACTGCTCTTCCAAAGGTCCCGAGTTAAAGTCTCAGAAACCTCACGGTGGCCTCTTCTGACCTTCATGTATCCATTCAGAGCACTCATATATTAAAAAAAAGAACATAAATTAAGTAAAATTTCAAGAAAATTTTACTGAAATAATTTAAATGAACATCACTTCTAACAGCAAAATAATGAGAGGTACCATTATTTTATTTTAGAGGTCCTCAAAATGAAAGGATCATTAAATATATCAAAGCACATCCACTCAAATACTATGTAGTTCTCAAAACTGACAGTTTCGGAAACATCTAATATAAATAACATAAGACTTTGGGTTGGTGAGATGGCTTAGTGGGTAAAGGTGCTTGCTGACAAACATAAGCAATTGAGTTTAAACCCTGGGTCTCTCTCAAGTGATGAAAGGAGAACTGACTCTCCCAAGTTATTCTCTGACCTCCACACATGTACTAAGGCATGTGTACTTGTACACAAACACAGGTACACAAATACACAATCAAATTAAATTGTTTTAATTAAAATCCTGGGATTGGGATATAGTCTGCTTAGCATGTGTTAGGCCCTGGAATCAATCCCTAGCACATGTAATTTATAAAAGTAAAAATACACTTATCATATTTGATAAAATATTTTATCGTACTTGATAAGGGAAAATTTTTAAGAGAAAACTTCACACATTTAAATGTATACAAACTATACAAATGTACACGTGCACATAAACAGTGGAATGACAGAATTGAATTATTTTGACTCAAAAGTGCCAATTGCTAAATAGAAATTGTGTAAACAAGTTGTTAAAAAAAACTAGTACCTTGGTCAGACTTGATAGGGATAAATAAATTATGGAAATGAGCAAACTGTTGAAATTTGGATTCATTTTCCCTGACAGTTTACAAACATAACCTCATACACATACTAGTAAGGATATAAAACAAAAGCATTAAGAAGTATTATCTTGTGCTGGGTGTTGTTGGTGTGTACCTTTAATCCCAGCACTCGGGAGGCAAAGGCAAGTGGATCTCTGTGAGTTCAAGACCAGCCTGGTCTATAGAGCGAGTTCCAGGACAGGTTCCTAAGCAATAAAGAGAAACCCTGTCTCGAAAACAAAACAAAAATCTCTTTAGGCAGTAGAATTAAAGGCTTTAATTTTCTTCACTGAGCAAAAATATTTTCTGTTTCTGTTATTTTAACAGATATTCTTAACTTGTGATATAAAAGTCAAACCTTAGAGCTTTTATAAGCCAAAAATAAACATAAGGTACAACATGCTAAAAGCTGCTCTATGAAATGAATGAATGAAATAAGGATTTGAAGAGGAATGCAATTCTATTGATGCTTAAGGGAACTATGTAAAACAGGGATCACGTACAGAATTTTTTTAATGAAACTGCAGAGATCAACCATGCAAATGAAAAGTTGCAAGAAAAGAAACTAGCTCTAATGGTAGTGCCTCTCACAATCCACTGCTTTTCCCAAGTGACACATTTGTCTTTTTCCCCTTTGACAAAGGGTTTCTCTGTGTAGCTCTGGCTGTCCTGGAACTCACTCTGTAGACTGGTTGGCTTCAAACTCACAGACCTCCCTGACCCTGACTCCCTAGTGCTTACCCACTAAGCCACTGCACACACCTGGCATATCTTAACAAAGCTTCAAACATTGTTTCTTATAATTTTAAGGATTGTTCCAAGACCTCTTACTACCACTAAGTAGAAAAGTAAGAAACAAACCACTACTGTTTTCTTAAAATACTTCTAAGACTTATCCAATTATTCCAATTTTTATTCATACAGTTTGTTTTAAGTGTTGTTTCTCTTCATGAGCTACTTGAATAAAATCACCCAAGGTAAGGGCTAAGGATGTAGGTCAGTGGTAAAGGTCCAGCACCCTTCAAAAAAATTATTCAAGGAAGTTCTTCAATATCACATACTCCATGGTGCAGTAAGTTTTTATGTAATTTAATATTGGTTAAGTATTCAGGCTCTAAAGGTCATCAGGGTCTCTGCTCAACTCTGCCTGTTCAGACAAATAGTTGATAAAGGAATAACTCTACCAAGGAGTGGCTATAGTTGTGTTCTAACAAACTTTATTTACAGAAACAGGTGGTGGCATGACTGGCCAGTGGAGCATAATCTGAAGACCCCATGATGATCCCTGCTGTAGATACTTAGTACTCCGATTCTACTTTTTTCTACTTAGTTTCATTTTTCAGGAATAATATAATTTTCTTGTCAACCATAACAGTTTGTTCCCTAGGTAAAACTAGACATGTTGATGGCAGCACAAATAACTTGAGGAACCAAGGATCCTAATGAAAATACTAACATTTCCTATAAGCCATATTATGTTCATATGCTCTGAGAAACTACATCAGAGAGCTATGCTGGTTAAATAGAGAATATTCTGAAACCTTTAACAAGCCACTTGCTTACTCACCTGAGTCTCAATAAATGATGTTTCTACTTTGCAAAGGAAAGAAATGTTTTTCAAATGTAGATGGTTATTATTTAAAATTATTTCGAAGTTCCCTACAGAGAAATACTAATATGAATCACTCTGCAATGTTCTATATCAATGTCAGAGTGTTTTAACCTACATCTTATAAACTTAGATTTTTTTCTGTCTGCTAAATTGTGCTAGTAATAAAAATGGGGCATTCCTTGAAGTTGTCACTCATTTATATTTACTACTTTCAATTAATTTATGAAAACTAACATAATTGTGAGAGTAATAGGAAACAAAGGGTAAAAGATAGTCTCTGTTTTTCCAAAATATCTAGCATAGCTCTAAGATTTTCCTTCAAATTGGAAAAAAAAAGGTAATTCAAGACACTATCCAAATGTCATATTAGAAAGAACCATAGAAACTGTAACTATACATTTAAATATAAGACAAAGATTAAATAAATTCAATAAAGAGGTCTTCCAATGCTTCCCTGAAGGAAAAAGGGAGCCGAAGTGAGCTAATAGTTTTAGTTCATAACCATTAGTGTAAGGTATTACAGATCTGCATTTTCCCCACACTGAGGATCTTACATGGGGTTTCAACCATATTAAGGCAAGCACTATACAGTAAACAACTTACTGTATGCCACTTTAGTTGGGTCATCATATCATATGAACTCAAAAGCAGCATCTACCTAAAAATGATAGTTTGGCTCCCCTAACTTGAGCAGAAGTAAACTGCCCACCAAACAACTTTAAAATAGTATTAAAACCCATTGCTAAGGAGTAAATGGGAGAAATTATTGTGATTCCCTTGTTTGGAAGAATAATTTGATCTTTCTGAAAAGCTGATGATTTATGCCTTTAATTTAATCCCAGCACTCGGGAGGCAGAGGCAGATGGATCTCTTTGAGTTCGAGGCCAGCCTGGTCTACAAGAGCAAGTTCCAGGACAGGGTCCAAAACCACAGAGAAACCCTGTCTTGAAAAAACAAAACAAACAACAACAACAACAAAAAAGACGTGTTCAAGTTAGAACCAGTCATTAGGAAGAAATCTCACTAAGATTTTTTTTTTTAAGTCCCATTAACCAAAAGTTAACAAATCTCCCTTTCATTTAGAAGCTAAGGGTCTTGAAAGCTACATTTTGTGTATCTGAGTTCAAACATTATGGGTCCAATACTTCCTTGACATAAATCAGCTTTATCAGAATATGAGACTCCTTTCACTAATAAAGTTTTAAAAATTACTGCGATAACTGAAGGTGATCGAAGAATTTATAATAAAGGGGAAATTTGTTAGACATACATGTTTAGGAAGAAAAAACTAAAGTCACATTCTGTCACTCTGTACTATTGTTCTTCACATCTTAGCATATTTCCTTGAACTCTAGTTTATAGTCGCCATGCTCTTTTATATACAATATTCTATTAGCTTTGTCTTCAGCAACTCTTAATGTTAAGAGACACTTTCAAAAAAAAAAGAGAGAGACACTTTCAAACATTTAAAACCCTAAAGATGGAACTGCTGATAAAATGTCCTGCACACTCTACTTTGTTTTACAGAACACAGAGAACATAATGAACCTAATTACATTTTGGAAGGAAGCCTTGGGAACATGTTCTGGAGCCTCATTTGCCCCTTGTACAAAATGGGAACATGGACAAGTGAGCCTATAGCAATGGTGGCACACTGCACTGGTTTAGTATGGCTAAGGCCCTAGGTTCAACCTCCAGCACCAAAATAATAGACAGGTAAACAAATGCTGTGAACACAATTGCATCATGGCAAGGAGTCAACCAGCATGTAGTAAGGTAGGAACCAAACCACTTAGCAAAAGTAACTTTTGAGAATTCTCAATTCCCAAAGTCACTCCACCCAAATGTGTTTCCTCCCCACAGATGGCAGTAAATGATGAATGCCTTGTCTAAAGTCAAATCTCACTTAGTTTCTTGATCAGAGAGACACTATCAGAGCCATAGGGCTAGCTTAAGGACATGGCAATGCTTTCTAAGTATCTCCGATCCCTGTTTTTCCGATTCCTCCCTGACTGTCAGAACATCAGTAGCATTTTCTCTCTATTACCAGCATGTTTCTCATCTTTTTTAGGATCCCCTGGCTCTTGAAGAATGGGAAACCTGTTTACCAAGTTTGCCATAACTGCTAAACTGTATGTCAGTATAGTAAGCTAAAAAAGATTGTGTTTAAAATGGCATGCAAAGTTTTAATATTGTGAATGATTTTTAATACTTTTACTTTTGCATTTCCTCTAGTAAAAGATATGAAAACAATGCATTTAAATTCCCTTCAAGTTAAAACGATCTGTTTGGTTGCTGTGTAATTTTTTCTTGTTTTGTGTTCATAAAGATTAATTCTCAGAGCTAAGGATGTAGCTTGGTACTAGAGCATTGCCTAACCTGTACCAGGCCCTGGCTTCCATCCACAGCACCACAACCAGAAACAATAATTCTCCCCCCCCCAGAAATGGCGCAAAATAAGTTCCTGTCTTCAATGACTATATTAAAAATTGGGCAGAGTCAGAAGACACTTCTGGTACTACGTTTATTTTCACTCTAGACAATGTTCATCACACCAAGAGAAAAGTAGAGTGCATTAATTTCTAGACTTCTGTATATGAATTAAACACATTTTAATAAAGCACTTAGAATATAGTGCCTTGTACACACTTAAGTGTCATGTGTTTGAAAAGCTAAATTAAATAACCCATAACAGCTCCGACTTTAACCGGGCTTAGAGCAACTTCCATAGGTTTGTTTCATGACCACAAGCCAATCCTGTGGAAGTCCACCTGACCACAGGGAAAGCCACGTATTTTTAGGAAACTGACGACGAAGGCAAAGACTACTGCTCTTTTTGGTCAAATTGAAGTAAACACTGGCAATTCCACATGATGGGTCCCTAAATCAGGAGCATCTCAGTTTTAGCCTCATTCTGGGATCCTGTCCCATTTCGGAGACAGGAATGGTGAGGCTTGGGAAAGCAGGGCGGGTCAGCTATCCCCTTCAGGAAGGCCTCTTCCCTGAGCAGAGGCAGAAGGGGGTAGGGGAGTATGGCCAAGGGCTAGGGCCTAAGGGTTGGTTCTGGGTCCCGCACACACCTGAACAGGGGCCCGAGCTGGAGCAGGTGCATGAGCAGCACCAGTGGGCGATCGCGGCTCAGGTCGCGGTGGACGAAGAGGAGTGTGAGCTGCACCAGCACACAGGGCATCAACGAGAAGAAGAGCGTCAGCGCCTGCCACATGCGGTCCCCGTCCGAGCGGTAGGTGCTGCTCAGGTAGAACGCCGCTATGGTCTCAGCCACGAACAGGAACAGGGATGGTAACACCGAGGCCGGGAATTTCATCTCGGCGCCTCAGAGACCCGCCCCGCGGGTGGCAGTGGCGGCGGCGGCGGCGACAGTGGCGGTTCCCTGAGCGGCTCCCAGCATGTCCGGCCCCGAGCCGCTCGAGCACAGCGGAGCCGCCGAGGGCACGCGGGCCCGGCCAAACGGCCCTGCGCGCGTTCTAGCCCGGCCTTGGGGGCAAACCGACACAGGGGGGTGGGGCGGCAGCGTGGCCCCGCTCGGACACGCCCACGCGCACCGTGCGCAGCCGCCAGTGCGCCTACCCAGCTCGTCGCTGCTCTCCCGAGACTGTTCCGGGCCGGCCGCGAACTCGCGCCTTCCTACAGCTGGTGCCCAACCACACCAGGAGGCCGCCCACCAAGCTGGCCCGCGCGCAGCCTCTGGGTCCTAGAGTCCGTTGTTCTGGGCTGTCTTGAGTGGCCTTGATAAACTGCAACCAGCAGAAACCAGAATTGGGGGTGGGGGAGTTTGAATTCTAGTTTCCGGGACGAAGAAATGCCTAACCACAAGTTCCAAAATAGCCAGAGGCACTGAGCTGCTTTGCTAAGAATAAAGGGTCTTGTCATGAAGGTAACATACTGGGAAATATGTCTAACTTTTCAGTGAAACCCTTGAGCAATTCTTTGTCTTTCTGTACAGAATGGGAAGGAACATCGAAGGAGCTGTGGAAGCCAAAATTCTCATTGCCAGATAAAACTGCCTATAGAATATATTGCTCTATATCTGTGACTAACTCAAGACAGGTCAAAGACCAAACCCTGATAAGGAAGCAGTTTCTAGCCCAACACATACCTCTGTTGGTATGTCAACCTAAGACTATCACAATTCTTTTTCACTCAACTGTTTATTTGAAAATAATTAATACAATGTATTTTGAACATGTTCTTTATATTCTTTCCCCTACTCAATCCTCCCTACCCACTCAACTTCATGCTCTTATCTCTCTGTCACAAACAAAGCAAACAAAAACAAACAAACAAAAAAACCCTAAGTTGAAAAACAAACAGTATGACAAAAAAATGTCAAAACCAACAAAACAAAAAGTGCAAAACAAAACAAAACAACAACAAAAATAAAATGGAGTCCATTTTGAGTTGGCTCACTACCCTTGGCCATGAAAGCTGCCTTGGGGTGTGGTTGACACTCATCTGGAAAAAACAGAATTTAACCTTCCCAGCACATATCCATTGCAAATATCTTCTTTGTTAGAGGTTGGAATTTATGCCTACTTCCTTTTCTCAATGCTGGGATTTTGTCTGGTTTTAACCTGTGCAGGTCCTGTCTATACTCACTGAACTTTGAACAACCTGTACATCAAAATGGAGTCATTTACCCCAACAGTACATGTGCTCGTGTGTGTGTGTGTGTGTGTGTGTGTGTGTGTGTGTGTGTGTGTGTCTGTGTGTCTGACACACAGCCTCACCCTTTTTAAGATCATTTTCCATGAATAAATTGGATAATTTTAATTTTCGGACAGCTTGGGCATTTTTCTATCTTTGAAAATGGTGTAAACAAAAATTGTGAAGGTTCTGAAGATCTCAACAAGAATGAAGACAGAGGGAGAGGACAAGCTAAGCTTTTGAGTTGGTTGTTGGAGTGACATGGAAAAATCTATTTATAAGGGTTAAGGGGAGAATTCAGCCAAGGCCTAAGTGAGAGGTACCAGGCCCTTTCTCCAAAAGGATTACGAATGCCTATTTATAGAATCGAGAGGCCAACATGTCCTGGATCCAAATACACACAATCACAAACAGACTCACCAGCAGCACTTCACAGAGTATTTGTGTAATATTTTATTTGACACCATAGATAGCTTTAAAGAAAAATTAACGAGTAGCTAAGAATAATTAATTAGAACACAATAATGATTTCACATCAGATGTTAAGGCAAAAATTATCACAGATTTTACATTATTAAGTGGACCAGAGCAGGGGCGGGACAATAAGCCAGCGACATCACTTTAATAAACACAATCAAGTCCAGTTTATGGCACATTATTTTCTACTTTGCAAAACTAATACAGAAAACACATCAGAAAGACCACAGTATTTGGATATTTGGACAGCAGTTAAAAAATAGTAAGGTGCATCACTAAGTTTCTGAGTCAGTCCTGCTTCTAAAGAGATTTCATTCCACCATGCAGTGGACTACGAGTGAACCCCCTCTGTGAAGCTGAAGCAAATTCAACTAACGATTGTCCTTCCTGCTCCAGGAACAACACATAACAAAAGCTAAAATCTAATGAGCACTTAAAAGTTGATCTTTCCAAATTATCGTCTGCCATTTTATCCTTAAGAACATATATATTTACAGCTTAGTTTCCCTGCTCTACATTTAAGTGAATTTTCATTAAAAATCAATGTCATATATTTGCATTATACTTCATCACTAGGACCAAAATACCCACTGTGTTTTTTTTTTTAAAAAAAAAATATGTGTACATAGTAGTAGACTTATAGAATGTGATGGTTGGGTATAATAATATGTAATATGCCAGAATACTTGATAATTGTTTCATTATAAAATATCATAGTATAACATTTTGCAATATAGTAAAGTGATTAGTAAAAATGTTCTGCACTAAGATTAGAACTGCTATATCTTTCAAATACCTCAAAGTACCCCTAAGGAAATGTAATAATTAGCAAGAATTTAAAGAACTTGATTTTGGCAAAAAGGCATTTTTACAAAGCCTCTCAGTTGGTGTGCAACTATTTCAAAATTCTTTTTATATACAACAGATAAGGTGTTGAATTTAATGTTAATAAAAATTAAAATGATTTTAAAGTACTAATAATTGATTTATATAATTTGTTTTTTATACTTATATTTTACTCATAATTATTTGGAGAAATTCAGCAAATAGAACAATTTTATTAATAACACTAATTTATTGAGCAAGTCTTCAAAATTCAATAGCACATTAAAATGTGATGCTTGTTTACTCTTAGGTCCAATTAGGAGTAAGCTGTTATACTATAAGGGTGTTTTACTATTTGGGATATTGCTTCAAAAGGTGAAGGAATTGTACTGGTTTGCTGCTTATGAAATGAACCATAAGGAAGAGATGAACTTTTTTTTAACCCAATGATGATATAATTGTGAACTGTGCAAAAATGAAAACCCTTTTGGTGAAATAGATTCTACTCACTCTAGTATGAGATGCTTGACCAGTCCCGAGTTATATATGGCTTTTCAGCATGTCTCACTGGTTTCTACAAAATCCATTTTAAAAATTCAGTTAATTTGGTGCCACTACACCCAATAGGTTAAAATTCAGTCCTGCCTTCCAAGAGCTCCTCATTCAGTTTCAAGTTGGGAAAGCTCTAACCTTATTAGAGACTGGACTGTCCTTTACCTGATTCTGAGAGCAAATTATTACACACCAAGAGCTCCACTCTTACTCCTGGAACATCTGTCTAATTCAAATGATACTGAATTTTCAAGAGCAAAGGGGGGGGGGTCTATTGCTGCTACAGTCTTCAGAAGACACCTCTATTATTCTCTATTATTAAAATATTAAAGTCCTAAAAGGCAGAGAGACAAGACTGATTATCTGCATCAATCTGCTTATTTGAATACATCCACATGTAAGTATTACTACATTCAACTTGAATTCAGTAACACAGTTTATTTTACTGGAAACTGCCACTTACACACAGATATTAAAACATCAGGGGATGGTATCAGACATCCCACTAAAATAGGTTATAATAAGGTCATTTGCTGAAGACAGTAGACAAGTATAGAGTCTGTGTCTTCTTTAAACTGATTGCTAAGTCACAGCCACTTCACACACAATACAAGATTATACACTGAGGAACATATCACACACACACACACACACACACACACACACACACACACACGAAATATATGAAGAAGAGTTCAGCAGAACTGTATTGTTCTATATGGATGAATTCTGTTTACACATACACAGGTGTTTCCCCCATCTCCATTCTTTTAGATTGCTCGTCATTTATGAAAGCATAAGAAGAGGGAGTGTATTGGGGTACTTCAGAAGGATCTATCTATGTCTTTATGTAAGAGCCTAAAGTCATGAGCTAGTGTCGACTTAGTAAGAAGTGGTTATTGTGTAACGAAAGAACTACCTTACCTTTCTGGTGATTCAAGCCTATTCATGGGAGCCACGCAATTAACCAGCTCTCCTTCCACCCCAAAGTTCATTCAGAATGGATGAACAACAGGTACCCAAAAGGGAAATGAGGGTGCAGAGAATCCTGCAGAAGAGAGACTTTGTCATTTGTGGCAGGAACTAGATGGAATGGACAGGGTTCAATATTCAAAGAAGATGAAAAATGAACAGTCTTTTAAATCTTAACAGCATCACCCATTAGGTCCCAATTCATCAACATTTTCAATTTACAAAATAAGGGGAGAGACTGTCTGTGTAGGAACTACTTCAGTTTTTGTCTTTTATGACACTAAAAATAATATGATCAGTCCCATTTATGGAGTGGAAGCAGGATACATGCAGCCACTACCTTATTCTCATTGCACAAGCACTCTTGTGGCAGCTTGCCCTGGACTTGTTATCTGACTACAGAATAGTTCCAATTCTGGCTGCTACTGACCTCAAGGTCAGCCTTTCTGTCCAAAGTGGAGTCAAGTCTCATTGAGCCCCATGCTCTTTGCTAAAAACAGAGGTGGACAGAGATATAGAGGAAGCCTGCCTTCCCAGGAGAAAAGAAGTCATGTGTGTGATTAAGCAGACATAGAGAAAAAAACATCAGAGTGAAGATATTTAGAGATAGTTGATAACACATGCTGAATTGAAGGTGGTTTATGATTAGACAGATTCCAGGAAGAAAAAAAAATGGCACTACTTATTCTTAGTGCCATTAAATGTACATGTACAAAGTACCTACAACCCCCAAGCCCTGATCCTGCCTTCTTACTTGCTTTCTTAGCCAAATTTATGCTACAATCATATGACCTTGGTAAATTTGAGGATTAGTCATTCCAGCTATTAATTTGAGACATAATAAAGAATTTAATGGAGGCCTCACAAGCCACATAATTCTATTCCTATAGGTAACACACATCTGAGGACCAAATTAAAGTATGGTTCAAAATCAGTGTTAAATTATCCTACCTCCCAATTCATTTTTTGCAATGCAGTTATGGTCTGGCTGCCAACTTTCTTGTGTTATTGGCGCCACGATCCTTTATTTTCAGTCAGCAAAATAAATATTTGTGTTAAACAGAGCTTCTAGGATACACCGTAGTGGCCATCAGGAGGGAACATGCTTTAACAAAAAGAATGTTACTACACATGAAACTGATGATGAAATAAATGACATGACTTACTTTCCTGATGAAAATATAGGTCTTTCCTCCCTTTCTTGGGAAAACAAGATAGAAAAGGACCCTCCCAAACTGACAGTACTTTTCTTTTAGGAAAATGGAAAGTTTCGATGATAGGTTTAGCAGAAGAAAAAAAAAAAAACAAAACCAAAACAAAAACAAAAAAAGTGAGAGTGTATCCATGTTTCAGTTTTACTTCAGAAAGACCACACCTAAACATGATCCTTTTTTATACATGATATACAAAAATAGTGACCTTTTCACAATGATTGGCACAAAGTTACAGTCACTCTATTACATCTTACAAAGGTAGGTCTATTTTTTTTCTAAAGCTCCTAGAAATAAAACAGTTATAACAAATCTTTGCATCATTTCCTAGTCCTTTGGTTTCTCAGTCTGTATAATGAATGATGGAAGAGATGGGCAGATTTTTAAAAAGAGGTACCTTTGAGGGAAGGGATAATTTGTTTACTATGGGGCTTACTTATCTCTAATCTGGAATACTGGACAAATGAATTTAAAAGGAGAAAGCCAGACTTTGAAGCCTTGTTTTGCTTCTTCCTAGCTCTAAATCTTTAGGGAGAGTCACCTAGCACACATTGAGTGGCTGCTCCGACACGATAAAAGCATGTATTCCTTTAATATGAAAGACCTGATTCTGGTTGCTTATTATCTGTAGCCTGTAGGGCCCATGCCAAATGCATTTGAAATGAGATGGTGAAGCAGCTGTCGCTGGCCCTTTCAAAAGGAAAACATTCTGTGGATAGACTTTTCTTTACGGTTTCCCAAAAGGTGCTTGCCCTCCTCAAGAAAGAACTTCTGGAATCTAATTAAGTTTTACCCCAAACAGTATTTTCACAGATGAGCAATTAAAGCCAATTTATATCTGAGGTCGTGAAATGGGACCATAAGCCAACAAGGTACATGTTTCGCAAAAATCATTTTGTCCCAGCTTGTGTTGATGATTGTAAACACACAAAGAATCATAATATACAAAAAGACAGTTCTTTTCTTTGGTAAGATTCTTTGAGAATCTTATGAATACAAGAAGTCCTCTTTTCCAAAATAGGATCACACATACAACATTCATACAAACGGATACAAACCCATTGGTTCATACAGCTCCACAAACCAGCACACACACAAATGTTTCTAGGCAGCAAAGTATTACCTAACTCCTCCCAAAGTCTATTTACAGTTCAAATAGTGCTTCAGTTTATATAAGGAATAAATGTAGCATATACACATATGTACCTATGTATATATACATATCCAAATATCTAATGACTACTGAAATAATGACATTTTATATAGCACAACTGTTTCCTTAATGTGATGTTTGAACTTCAGTGGTTAAGTACAAGGACTGCGGTAAACTCATGTTCTTTGTATTGGAGTGACAGTTGCTATTAGTGTTCAGCAATCCACTATTGACGTGAAACATTTTATAACTTGTGATTATAGGAGAAGTAAATTGGATATGATAACTAGAATCAACTAGTATGATAGCCAAGCTCTAGCATGTCCTGTGTTTTGCAAGGTAAGGTGACCAGCCAGGGAATTCATTTCACTCTTAATCTAATAGGTTAAAACAGAGCAACATTCTTTCTATAAACACTTCTACTTTCCTCATTCCATGTCTTTCACAGTATTCTATGAAATACAGAAATGACTTACCTATGTGATAGTTACCCTGATTTTTGAGATGAGTGATTTTCACCAAGAGCACGTTTTACAGTCTAAAAGCTTCATAGAGATTACAAAGATAAAGGCATTTAAAGAATAACTAACATGTAAAATATACAGATCTCACTTCAACTTGAGACAAACACATGACAACAACACTTATTTGCTAAATGTGAAGATTCCTGTCTTTGTGTGTGTGGATGTTTTGTTTGTTTGTTTGTTGTTTGTTTTGTTTTGTTTTCGCGGTGCTGGGTATGGAACTATGTCCTTGTGCATGCTAAACAAGCCACACCCCTAAGCTAGTAAGCTTAGGCTGCCACTAAAACTACACTCCTTCCTGCCCTGAATCTTACTATTCTGAGCTCTATGAAAGAAACCAGAATTAGGGAAAGAGATATTTTAAGGTCTAAGGAAGCTTCAAATTTCAGTGATTAAAATAAGTTGTGATATGATGTTTTTAAAGTGCCTGCAATAGTGATTAAAAAAAGAACACATACATATGCAAATACCTCTACTCAGATAAAAATCATGAATTTCAGTAAGCAAAGGCCTAGGACAATCAAGGGTTTCTTTTCATGCCCTTCATCCTGACATTTGATCCCTGCTCACAGTTTTGAACAGGGCAAGTTACTTTTATATGTTTTAGATTATTTGGATTGTCTTCACTTGTGAACTTAGGGGTGGAGGGTATACAGAAGGTCAAATTTGCTCCCCAGTTTCAAAAGTGTTAGCACTCTGTCCCCATCATTTCCAGTTCACTTCTGCCTCCAGGGTCATGAACTGAAAAACATTTATATATATTTTGCTTTTCTCTCTGATCTTGGGTTTTACATCATTCCCCTGAAATGTGAAATCTGTGATTTTTAGATGAGTTGTGGCATCTTTGTTTGGCAGGTTCTCTCTGCAGTCTGGTATCACGCTGTCTTCTTCAGGCTGATCTCATACTTCTGGCAGCGATGTGAAAGCTCATGGTTTTGATACCATTGGATGTGGATTAGGTGGAATACTGCCCAGAGGAGGCTCAGGAAATCTCGGGGGACTTCTGCCAGGCTGCAATGGGATATGGAGCCTTCTACACAAAGACGCTGAAGAGAGGGAATTCAGCCTGATTGGGCTGTAGCAAATCAATGAGAAAGCAAACAGTGCCAGAGAAGCCTTCATACAAGCTGTAAATGCTTTCAAGGACCCGGGAACCAGCTTTGAATTCTTCCGTGAATAAAAACTGAGCAAACCTAAGAAAAGAAGAAAACAGTTTTAATATGAATTATACCCATATGACCTGTCACAGGATGCTCTTCTTCTCTTGTGAAGTTAAACTTTTAGTATCATTTTCTTCTCAGAATTATGTAATTAATTTGAGAAACTCCATTCTCTGGAGAAAAGGGGAGATCAGTTATATAAGTGTTTATGTTTTGCAACAGATTTTGTTGGCAAACAAATCTAACGATTTTTAGGAGTTGCAAATCAAAGCACATTGGTGTTTTCTGAATTGATATTCCTTCCATTATCCAATAATTAAAAGTGAAAAAGCCACATAAAGCATCCTACTTTTATTTATCTTGAACTGAAGCAAACTTATATATCACTGTTCCTTTCAAAAATCTAAATATATTGTGTTTCTGGGAGCATATTATTTTTGAACTAGGTTTATTTATATGTGACAGAGAGCAGAGGCTAAAAAATGTGCAGTATTTTACATACACTGCTTTGGGCAACAAAAACCTAAGATGAATGGTAGAATGTAAGCAACTTTTCATAATGATGACATCAAATAGTAAATTCAACTATGAGGCATTATTTTAAGATAATCTGCCTTTAAAACAAGTCACTGATCTCTAAAATCTTGACAAAAAACACTTTCCTTTGACTTTTTTATTTTCTTATTTGATTAACCATAACAACACTGAGTAGTAATTTCCAGCCTTTCAAACGCTCTCACTTATGCCTTTGTTTTTAACTAATCTTATTCATTTTTCATCAACAAAAAAATAATCAAGTCTGATGCTGGTGAGGCCTGAGCGTTGATTATTGCCATAAATTTAGATTATTGCGGCCACACGGTGGTCCTATAAAGATTAATGACTTATGTGATCTTTTGTAGAGCCCTTGGAATTATTGCAGGCAGCTTAAAATAAATGAGGAAATAAATTTCAATTCCATTTGTTACCAATTTTCTATCAAGTGTTTTCTTAAATATGAAGTCATTTAACCAAGATTTTATACTTCTAGAAGAAGAAACTAAGCTATTTTATGAATCAACTCAATATATATATATATATAATTATGTGATAATTAGGAATTATGAGATGACTCTGGGGGACCCTCATCTTTTGAGTGCTGTGACTTACTCGGCAGTCTGGATACCTCAGAATTGTCTTCAAATATGTAACATGTAGTATGTAGAATTCTTAACTATAGAAAAGCACAGTTTGTGTGCTTGTTCTTTTCTTGTTCTTTTTTAGATGCTGGGGATTAAAGCTAGAATCGTAAGCATGAGAAAGATGGATGGAAGGAAGGAAGGAAGGAAAAAAGGAAGGAAGGAAGGACAATCAAAACATGCATTCTTCATTAGCACAGTAAATAGCACTATCTAGTAGTGGTTTAATATGTACTAATATTTTTAATTACTTAGGATATAAAATATATTTTGCACCATCTACAACAAAAGTAATTGAATATGATAATATGCCTTCTACCCTCTGATTCTTTTGCCAGCCTTTGGGATCCTATTCATCATACTGGGTAGCCTTGTCCAGCCTTAATATGAGGAGAGATGTCTAGCCTTACTGCAACTTGATAAACCATGTTTTGTTGAGATCCATGGAAACCCTGCCCTTTTCAGAATAGAAACAGAGGAGAAGTGGATGGTGGGGATGAGGAGAGATGTGGAAGAGACTGGGGGAAGAGTAGGGAGGAGAAACTGCTGTCAGGATGTAAAAAATAATAAAAATAATTTAAAAATAATTCTAAGCAATGCATAACATTTCTCATTTCTGAAATATGTTGTCAATAGTAAAGTGAAAACTATTGCTTCAAAAAGTACTCAATATTAACCAATTAACTTTCTCAACAATTCCCAGTTAAAATAGAAGCCTGAATGGTAATTATAGAACTGAAAGAAAGAACAATATTGGCCACAGTACATAAAAATACCTAATGGTTCTATATAAAAAAAACTGAGTCAAGAAAGTCATCATTTGTAAATTATTATTAATTGATAATTGCAAGCAGTGTATTTACACATTTTAAGCTCTAGATAATAACATAAAAGAAGCAAGAGTAGGGGTTACTTGGGGGAAGGGAACCAGCTGACAATGAAGAGTATGCACAAGGGAAGGCAGTGCAGGGGGACAGTGAATTTGAAAAAAGTACTATAATGACATATGTGAGTAAAGATGTCATAATGAAACCAATTACTTCACATGCCATCTTTAAAGAAATACAAATTTACAATAGAAAAAGGAATAGTGGGAAATCAAGGCAGAAATTAATGAAGTAGGACGCAAAAGAGAAATGAATAAAACTAATAAACAAAACCAAGAACAAACAAGACAAGGAAAAAGTGTTAATGTGTCTTGACAACTAAAAGCTCTAGGAAGACCATCACATATGTAGGGAATCACAAACATCACCAGATGTGGTACTGCAGCACTACGTCAAGTTTTTCAAAAACTAAAAAACCCTTCTCATCATGCATGGCCACCAGAAAGCCAACTAAAGTGACATACATGTTGGGCTGAGCCATGGAGTGAGTTTGTGGTCCGCTAACAAATAACTCTGCATTTTACAACTTTCTATCTGTGAGTGAGAATAAATTTCATGAAGAACCCTGGAACTCAAATGTTCTAACTACAGCTTTGAACACTAGATTTGCATTCCAGGAAGTAGAGAGGTTCACCCAATCTTTTCAAATAGATGTTTTAGGGCTTAAGAACCTCTGACAAATGCTGTTATCCTAGATTATGCCCTAATGACTTTCTTTTAATTCACTGGAAAAACAACAAGTCAGATTTCTGTAAGGCAGGTTCGAAAGCTGTGTCATGTGTGTGCTGAGCAAGCACTCTACCACTGAGCCATATCACTAACTATCAATTTTACTGTTTGGAGGGAAGGTCTCACCCCTTGTCCAGGTGGGCCTTGCTCTCCCTCTTGTAGCCCAGAAAGGTTTTGAATTTGTGATCCCCTTGTAGAAGTCTCCTAAATAGCTATAATTATGGGCATGCATTACACAAAGAAAGTAGAAGGCTCACACAGGCCTTCACACATTCCCTTCAGGGTGATATTTGCAAATATCAAAGATATTTTACATTTTATTTTAACACTGAATACTGTATTATGCATTATCACGAGAAGACCTTTCGGGGTCATTCAGACTTTTACTCTAAAGAGCTAAGAATTATATGTACAAAGTGAACATTATAGGTGGAAAGGGCTAGGAGCTAAATGTAGACAAGCTAGGGAGCCAGGAGACATAGGAAGAAATTGAAAATTATCAATGGAAAGAAACAAAACTTAAAAAGTCTTGAGGTATACTATATGTGGAATACTAATGAAATCACAAGAACCTGAACATGGTAGAGAGAACAAAAAGAAAGAGAATAGGAGATAAAATCAAAGGTAGAGGGGATCTAGGTGTTGTAGGAACTCTCACTCAAAGTGTAGACTTGGTCATTGTGGAAATCTATTGGATTACCTTGAACATAGGAGTGTTGTCCTAATATGATGCACATTATAAAAAGTAAATATAAAAGACTGGTAAAATGGAAGATTCCCTAGTGCAATCAGCATAAAAGCAATGATATTTTCTATCCTTCTTATTAAAGCTTGCTATGGGGGATGCATTATTTTAGGGAACTCACACAATAGAAAACCAAAAACATTATGACTGCCTAGAAGAAAGGAGGTTACAGTCATAATTACTATCATATAATGTGTGTGTGTGTGTGTGTGTGTGTGTGTGTGTGTGTGTATCAAAACTCCAAAGGAACCTAATAGAAAACTGGTAGAACAATAATGGAATCAGTAAGTTCTATGATGATAATATTTATGAAAACTTGATAATTACAAGGTGCAATGCATATTTACATTAAAAATAGAAACTGATGACAAACTGTACAATATATGACTTTTACATTTAATAAGTACCAATAATAAATAACCTGAAAATGATTCCTTGAGAAAAATTCATTTGTGAGAAACTTGAAATAAACAAAACAAAATAACTTAATGCTATCAAGAATTATAAAGACAGTTTTTCAACGCAAATAACTTGATCTTGGATGGGAAACCTTCATATTTTCAAGATGTTAATAATTCTTATGGAAATAACCTATACTTCAGTGAAATTCCAACCAACTTGCATAACACTGTTTTTGAAGCTGAAAAACTGCTCCTAAATTACAAGATGAAAAATGGGGGAGGGTAGTAAAGACAAAATAGAAGTAAATAATAAAGTATAGAAGTAGCCAAAGGGCACATAAGAAAGTCCCCAAGCAAAGCTGTTTATCTATAAAACTTCAATTTGTAATAAAGATTAACTTTTAAATCACAGTGATATGATACATTTATTTTCAATGACCAAAGGTAGAAAACAATTTCTAGATGAATACAATTTTTTCATGTTAAAATAAAGTCAAAAAGTGCAACTGTATTAATTTCCCCTTTATTACACTAGAACAGTAAAGAAAATTTCATAAATAACACAAAATACAGAAATTTTAAAAGGAAAATTAATGACTTTCACAAGAACACTTAGTACTTTCATATGACGAAAATTTAGTAACAAGAGGGAAAAATGGGGACAAAAAGGGACTGGAGACATAGCTCAGCAGTTTAGAGTACTGGCTGCCCTTCCAGGGGATCTGAGTTCAATTCCCAGCACCCACATGGAAGCTCCTAACTGTCTATCGTTCCAATACTAGGAAACCCGCTTTGTTTTTTTGGCCTCCGCAGGCATCGAGATTACAGGTTGTGCACAGATTCACATGTAGGCAAAACATCCACACAAATATAAAATTTTTATATTAAAAAAGAAATAGCAATAAAGGAAAATATTTACAGCACATTTTGAGGAAGAGTTATAATCTTTAATATAATTACCATAATAGGAAAGGAAGGGGAGCGGATGGGAAGAAGGGAAAGAAAAAAAGGTACATTCACTTTAGACTCAGAAACACTAATAAACCCGAAGATTTCAGTTCTAAAACTTTAGGTCAGGGATAGAGTGCTTTCCTACCTAGCACATGTGAGTCTCTGGGTTCTATTCCCAGCACTGGAAGTAAAAGAAGTACATAGTAATTTAAAAATGTTTCCTACATAAATGCTTCTACCACTATAATGTACATATATTGTGTATTTTGATTAGACTGGATGTATATATTGGATATCATATTTAAGGCAACTTTGCCTATATTAGTAAATATTGAACATATATCAAGTTTTTATTATTTAGAAGTTGAGTGAATTAATTATGGTATAAGTTCATTGAATAATTATTTAACTTCTTTATGGCTTTCTTTTTTCTTTCTTTCTTTCTTTTTTTTGAAACAAGAGTTCTCTGTATAGCTTTTCGAGGCTGTCTTGGGACTCTCTCTGTAGACCAGACTAGATTCAAACTCACAGAGATCCATCTGCCTCTGCCTCCTTAGTACTGGGATTAAAGGGATGCACCACCACGGCACAGCCAATTGTTTAACTTCTTAAAAAATGAAATAAATCTAGTCAAACTAAAATTACTCATTCAAAATTGTAAGTTAAAATAGTGCATCTAATACCTTTATATATGTATAATAATAATATGAACCTATTAAAAATAGATTGAGAGCTGAGATATGATTTATGATAAAATATGTCTTTAGCAAATGTGAAGCCCTGGGTTTAATTCCTAGAACGAAAATGCACACACACACACACACACACACACACACACACACACACACACACACATGCATAAATACATATATACATATACATACATATGCATGGATAAAACTTAGGAATGATAAAGCTAAAAAAATTATACTAATAACAAAAGTTAACCCTTACATTGAAGATACCATATTCCAGGCATTATTGAAAATGATTTACTTGTGTTTATTTGCAAGTTCTTTTTATAGTAAAGTTTATAAAATTTAAATAATAAAATAAATTTCATGTCTTAAAATTGATTTAAATCAGCCAGTACCCCTGAGATGTGGGCACTATTTCACATAACCACTATGATTCTGGGTATATCCTTTAAAGGAATTCTCACAACTATGAGGTACTATTCTTTGGCCTCTACCAAGTAACAACGCAGATACAAGGGAATCAAGTCATATTGGTGGGAGTTAGTGAGAAGCCTCCTAGCTTAGAAGTCATAAATGACACAGAAAACCACCTCTTCTGACAATTTACATAGACAACTTCCAAGTGCCCTCAAAGGGAATACTGATTTCAGGCTGCTCGGTTTTCTAGCAGTTTATTTATAGCCCATTCATAGCCTTTCTGGCACAGTATATACCATTAATCAGTATGGAGTTATTTCTATTCAAAACAATGCTGTCTGTTCGACATCGGGTTTCCATATTTTTTTAGGGCTTCAGGGAATAAACTACAGAGATTAATTTAGCATTATAAAATTAGATAATATATGTCATTAGAACTTTAGCTCCAAAATTCCATTTCTAGGAATTTACTTCCCAACAAGGATTGAATCCACTATAGAAGCAAGAGCAGACACAAGAGACATGGCAACCATTAATAGAAATTACTTCCCTCAGTTGCAAGATCTGGAGGTTCACAGTGAAAGAGATTAGTATTTCAAGATGCCTCTGCCTTCTGCTAGCCTACTTCCCTTATAGACAGATGGCAGGAAAAGGATAATCTGTTCATCAGTGTGTAAAAGGTAGCATTGTTTATATTGGAAACAACTGGAGTAAAATGTTCTCATTTTAGTAAGAATGTTTAACAAAAATAATAGGAAAGACCCCATGTGAATTGATACAGCATGGCCAGCAAGATAACAAGGCACTATCATTTGTATAAGAAAGACAAAATTTGATATATACTCCCCTATGCTTGATTTTACAGAAAACATTCTTGGGAAGACACACAAGGCAGAATCTCCAGGAAAGTCAATTAGATGGCTGGGAAGCCTGGTCACTATGCTCCTTTTTCACACATTTGAAACCAGGTGACTACATTACCTACTTAGAAAATTAATTAGATTAAGATTTCAAAACCAAGGCATGGGAATGTAGCTCAGTGGATAGACTACTTGCCTAACACACAAGCTCTGGATTTAATCCCTAGTACCACAGGTGAGGTGTACACCTGTAATTCTAGAACTTGGAAGATGTAAGTAGGAAGAATGAGGAACTCAAGCATTGGTCACTATAGTGAATTGAAGGCCAATCTAAAATATGGGAGACATTGTCACAAGGTGGAAAAAGGGATTTCTAAGAATATGCACATGAAAATAGCTGACCTTTGGGCACGGTAGATGTATTTGGAGTTTCCTGTAAGACGGTACAGCAGAAGGAAGACATAGGCACTACCAGCTACACCGTGGCAAATCCCTGGCCCCTTCTTCAGCAGGCCTTTCTGCCATGTTAGCTCCCCACACCGGATACATGTGTCCAGGTACTGTGGTTTCTTGGAAACGAGATAAGCTTTGGCAAACAGATAAGCAATTCCTGTAAAAAAACATCGACAGTAAGAGGTGACTTTCATGGTTTAATATACAGCTTCTCAAAGGTGTATACCTCATGAATCATCACATAGGCTAACACAGTATTTCTAAGATGTGGCTTGAGATACTACATTTCCTTTTTGTTTTCTTTTAGTTTTACATTCCTAGCTACATTTCCAAAAAGTAGACTTCTGGACATTATGCATTTGGTAGCAAAACTATAGAATGTTCTACACGAGAGTGTGCTTTTCCATGTGTGAGTAGTTTAAACAGTCTTAATTCTATCATGGAGTTGGCTTCTGGAGACAAAGAAACACTTTAATTGAAGCACATCAATTAATATGATCCATTATCCTATAGAAATTCAGAATTTGCAATGTTTACATATTTATAACAATACCCTTCCCCTTAAGAGAAAAACTAGGAATCTTTCCAAAAATAACAGTGCTATCAAGCAACCTCAGTAAGATGTCTACTCCAGCTTTGAAGTGAGTCCTTCCCGTGGTCAGCATTCCATGGGAAAGAAACATTCGTTCAAAGCTTGCCAACAAAGGTCAGACCCATTATAGAAGCAAGAATAGAAACAGGAGATGTGACAACTACTCCTTAAAATTAGTTTCCTCAAGTTGCAAGGTCTGGTGGTCCATAGTGAAAGAGATTAATAATCCAAGATGACTCTGCCTCTTTCATAGCCCACTTACCTCCTAAACAGAAGGCAGAAAAGAGCTAAGAGACTAGCATAATGGTAGAATGCTTGCCTAGCAAGTGTGAGACACTGGGATTTGGGCCCAGCACCCTCCACATGTATATTTTAAAGTGGAAGCAACAGCCTTGAATGGAGTAGGTATCTTGATGCGATCACCCACAAGATTCTCTCTGTCTTTCATTGTTTTAAATAAGGTTTTCTAAAGAAGAAAAAAATGTAGAAAATCCATGTGTGGCCATGGTGCAAGGCAAGCTTCAAGGGCAAAGCAGTTTGCTCCTCAAAGGGTCCCATCCTGGGCTTGATAGTCTGCTGTTAGCATCTTGAGATTCTTAATAGCCTTTCAAAATCAGTACTTTCTTATTTTATACTAGGTCCCAAATTGCATAGTCAGTCCTATCACCGAGGAATCTGAAATAAATGCTAATGGCCTATGCCCTTTCTGTAGACACTGTGACTAACATAAACTAAGGCATGGGTCCATGTTGCTGCTGGGACATACAACGAATGGTACTGTCAGTGAAACTATAGAGATCAGACAAGTGAAACTGTCCTGAGGGAAACAGTCCTGGGAGGCCTTAAGTGAAAGCTAGCCTTTCCTGGGGTTTATAAGCTACACAGAAAACCCCAGGCCTAAGATAAGGCAGGGAAAGCATATTAGGCACCAAGATCACAGAAGCTAAGAGTTTCAGAGATATCTAAGACTAAACAACAAGATCAGTCTGGCAGCAATCTAACCAAGGGGCCAGGAGGGTAGAAGAGGAAGAAGGAGTTTACATTATGGGTGGTATGATAGCTTCTGTTGGACATTTTACACTGTATACTGTGGATAATTTGGAACTACTAAAAGTCTTTTTATTATGAATTGGTTGGTTTTGATTTTTGCAAAACAGTATTATTGCTCTCACACAGTATTTAGGAAAGACCTAAATAAAGGCAGGATAGCTCTGAGCTAGTTCTGTTGGCAGAACGAGGGAAATGAAACTTGCCAAAGGGTAATTTCAAAGGATGTGGTGGCTGTTTAGATACCAACTGAGCATGAACTATAGGGAAAATGCTGGTTTTTAAAAGGCCACTGTCTTTAATGGCTTTTAGAGTTTAATCTTGAGGTATGAACTATGGTATGTGTATACAAATATAGTTATGGGAGTACACAGGAGGGTCCCTGACCTATAGCCCACTAGACTGCCATCAATCTAATTGAGTACTGGCAAATGTACAGGTATCTGACTCAGCTCCCCTTTATCTTACCAGCAAGTATGCCATGCCTGAGTTCTTTTAACTGCTGGCTGTTGACATACATCCTGGATTCCTATGTCTGGAGATTTCCCCACAGGCAAACAGAAAGCCATATCATGTACTCAGCCCTCTGAAGTTGACTATCATGGATGGATACAAACAGCCTTCTCTCTTTCCTCAAGAACCAGATATTTAGTATATCTGTGCCTATTAGCATCCATCAGAATCAGAGTACAGCTGGTCTCAATGAAAGCTGCCTTTCTCTGGCTTTTGTTATTTTTGCTGCCCTACAACCCCTGGCCTAGTAGGTTTCCCTAAGAATATACTCTGCTTCCAAACACACAGAACAGTGTGTTATGTGGCAAGAGTTTTAGCCAAGCAAAAGCTAAAGGGTTTCCCCATTATACAGGTACTTTAGCATGATAAGAAAGCCCTTTTATGGTCAACATCCTGCTCTGTTTGCAAGCCTCTTCATTCTCTGACTGAAACTTTTCACTTCCATAAAAACAAAATACCTGCAGTGCTTCTGTGTTTCTGAGTGCCTATGTTATTCTTGGAAGAAGCCTCCTGTGTTTCTTGGCACAACTCAACTGAGAAATCACTTTCTTTAGGAAGCTTTCACTGAATCTGGAGGCCGCATGGGAAATCTCTTTTCTTAGATCCTACCTCAAACTATATATAACACTTATATATAACCAAATTAAAGCAATCTGTTCCCCTGTCTGTCTCCCCTACTCTAAGGCAAACAACCAAAGGGCAGGAATTTTATCATATTCTTTTCTTTACTCCTCATCTGTGGTGTGGTATTTTGTCACCAAATACTTCCATGAATGTCTGTTGTCCCTGTGATACCTCCTTTATCACCCTAACACAGTGGTTCTCAAACTATGGGTCACAACCCCTGTGGAGGTTACATGTCAGATATCCTGCACATGAGCTATTTATATTATGATTCTAACTGTAGCAAAAGTGCAGTTATGAAGTAGCAATGAAAATAATTTTATGGTTGGGGGTCACCACATGCAAGGAACTATATTAAAGGGTCACAGCATCAGGAAGGTTGAGAACCACTGCTCTAGCAGAAACTGGCACTGGAAGCAGAGCAGAGATGTAGAAAAGAAGATACACTGAGATGGTTTGATTGTTATATCAAGCCATTAGCCCCAGACAGTTACAAGCTATGGATGTTATGGTTCTGACCAGAGTAAAATGTCCTCTTCTTGAAGCCTTGATCACAGACTGATATATGTGTAGGGGGCCTTGAAAATGTTCTAAATTTGTTAGCGCCTACTCTGGCCTAATGGAAACCATCCTAATGCTTCTGACTCTTAAAGGAAAGGATGTCATGTTTCTTTGACTGTGATGGGAACTAGTACAACGTTTTCCTGGGATCACTAATTAGTATTCAACAATATGAAACACAGGTCAGTGACAGTGTATGACTTTGCCAAATACAACCAGGACATTAAGTTATAATTTAATAGAGATGGTTTGGGGAGACTAAATCTTTGAAATGTGGGATATCCAGAGTCTTGTGACAGGTAGAATACACCATTTCAACATATTGGAGTATCACCAGTCAGGTTCATGTTAGGATGTGTAATTTTGCTGAGTCACTAAAAAAACTTAGTTACCACCCTGTGCTTCTGAAACTTTCCTCGATCTTCAAAGTCACTTACTCAAGAGCCTTTGTGGAATGAAATTTCAAAACTGCTCACACCTGTGTTTCACACAGAGTAAAGGAAGAGCACAGTCAGTGTTACCAAAGTAATGATGTAACCTGATGCAGTCAGGGAGGTTATGTTAACCACAGCATTTGTTTTAATGATTCTGCAAGTGACTTCCATCCTGTATTTCAGAGTGATCAAGGTTATGAAGGGATCACATGAGTCTTCTGACAATACACTATTGTATTTGTGGAGAAAAACCTATATGTCACTGTAGGTATTTATAAATGTGTTTATAAACGGTGTTTATAAAAACATCTGAGCTATAGCCCTTAGGAATGACAAAGGTCCAGATGTAAAAATGTGTCAATGGTGATGAAAATACTGAGATTCACTATTTCACTTCAATATGCTCATTTCAGATTCTTTAAAAAAGTGACTTTTCTCAAGGTCACTTAGCTGGTTACTGCTACAGCTACAATTAGACCCCAGAATTATTAACCTATCATCAAGAACTAGTTATACATTTCATACCTACTAACTAGGGCAGTAACTAGTAGAGGAGGGCTGAAAGAAAGTCAATAGGAAACTGAGGCATGGATAAGACAGTTCCACTGTGTAGATTATCTCTGACAGGATTTTAATCACAGGAATGGTCTGTCATCCCGAATCATCTGGGTTGATCATAAATCTATTCTCAAAATTTGTTTTCTCAAACAAATGAATTTCAAGGCCTATTCTTGCTGGATTTGGGGAGAAATTTATTATAGTAAACTTCAGTGAGATCTTGACTGTCTTTGACCTGTGATTACCAGTTTTATAATCACTATTAGGTGAGGGTGGGGATTAGTAGAAATAATGGACCATATTTCTCCAGTGAATCAGATTCTTTTTGGTGCTCCTGTGATTACATGGACTCAATGACCCTTTTTGTTTTGAAGCAATGTATTCATGTTACTCTTCTCAAAACGCTTAGAATGGATGCCAAAGGGGGAGGGGTGAATAAATTCTCCAATGCCATGAATCCTATGCTGCAGTGTCATAGTCCATGACCTGCTGAAACAGATGGCATTTGGTATACAGAATAATAGCCATGTAAACACCTATTTCAATAATAGCCTCAACCACTCATGTTAGTAGATTATCTTTCTACTCTATTAAGGGCCTTTGCTAGCACATTGAGTCCTTTTAAAATATTCTATATTTAATTTGGGACATTTCCAAAATTCAAGAATACTGCGATGCCTGGAGAATGTCCAGAGACCATCGCTGAGAATGCTTAAGAGGAAGGAGAAACAGGTATTGTGGATAACAAGAAACATAATTTCCAGGATGGTAAATTACTAACTGCTGTGTTTTCCCCCCAAAAGGTCAAAGCAAGAAGTAATGGGCACAAATTATACCTGGCCAGCAGTTAGCCTGAACATAATGTACTATGTCCTAGTACTTTTTTAAATACACAGTTCAGCATTCCTTCCATAGTTAAATGTGGCAGGCAGAGAAATTACGACAGTATGCAGTGACTTATATTATTCATCACCTCAAACTATATCAAGGAAAAAACAGAAATCTAGTTTGGTTAAAACACATTAATTAAAGTGAGAAGGGAGGCAATAAAAATCAGGTAACAAGACAAGGATAAATCATATGCAATCTAAAGTTGTACTCTTCTGTTTGAAGTACAACCTTGCAAATTCATTCATAATCAAAACATTTTTGAACATGAAAGTAATTATAAAGCATTGTAGACACACGTAATTGTCAAAGAACAAATTTAATAACTGTGTTATTTGGTATTTTGTTCTCTTTTCCAATTAACTGAATTGATTTGTTTGACTTTAGCTTCTTTTAAATCATCCCTTCTCCAGAAGACTAGTTAGCAGTGTAATGGGATTTGGAAAGGGTGGGATAGAGAGAGGTAGGTAATGAAGTCCATCTAGTTTCAAGGTTCAATTTCAAAATTCATTGGGGATGGATTTTTCATTTCTTTAGATACTTTATTAGATTATTACTGGAAATACTCGCTTGAACAATAATTCCAAAACCATGCATTTCAAACTTAAAGATTAACACAAGTTGCATAAGGATACTGATCAAATACACATTGTGATTCACTGGGTTGTGATGGGGCCTGAGATTAGAAATCTACAAGTTGTCACACTACTAGGCCAGAGGCCACCATAAAATCAGGCTATGGATGTACACCTTCCAAAGTATCTAAAACGATTTTGAAATGTAGCATTTGATTAGAATGTTATATAAATATAAAATCAATACTGAATTTTGAAGATTTCAATATTTTAAAGAATGTATACTATCATTTTTTTTTAGTGCTCTGGATGTCCTCTGTGTTCCAGGAAAGTGCTTTTTGTCCCTAGCCCAGCCATCTCTATTTTTAAATTGGTAGCCTATTGAAAAAATAACACTTGGGTTATATATTATTAAAATGAATTCTATCCATTTATTTTTGCTTTTGATTCTTTTTATGCATATATTCTTGGACTTAAACCCAGAACTCTGAGTATACTAATCATTCACGCTACCACTCAGATACCCTAAAAATTTAGACTATACTATACATGTGATTCACATTACATTTGGAGGGAATGCTTGTTTAACACTATGGATAGATAGATGTATTTTTTAAACCTGTGGAATAATTTTCAGAAGTCCTTTAAAGATCAAGGTATTTTTTAGTTTTCAAAAATTTCAACTTGATAGCTATGAGCTAGGATGAGAAATACACTCAAATCTCAGAGAACTGAAGCTCCCTTTGTGCAAGTGAGGTGAAAGGCCCCGTTTTCAGACAACAGTGTGTGGGAGACCTGGAGCACCGTGGCACCAATGGACCAGTTCGTTCTCTCTCTCGATGGTCTCTCCAAGCTCAGGTGGCCAGTTGCAATTCTGTTCCTGTTCCATGAGGAAGTCCACACTCTGCCACACCAGCTCCCGATCTGAAGGCTTGAGATGCTCATGGTAAGAAAGAAGCATCTGGAGAATGGATGACAGGCCATGAGCTGCCCCTGTGTAGACAAAGCAAACATCACTTATCCACCAAGAGAGGAAAGGGAGTTTGATCTAATGAAAATAAAATTGTGAGATTTGTTTTACATTAAAATATTACTTGAAAGCACATATAATCCTATAACAACTGAGTTGCTAAAAAAACAAAACCAAAAACATAACAAAATAAAAAATAACCTAAACCAGCAGCTTGCAGCTCAAAACTGGCTCACTGTAGTAAGATATCCACCCCACCCGTACCTGTTGCACTGACCATGCCCATTGGGTCATGGGGACAAGTGTAAACATGACCTGTGGGGACTAGGTCTCGGGTCCTGCACCCCAGCTCACTCTCTTACTTCCTGGTCAGAGACAGAGAGCATCCAGGGGAATCCTTGGAGCAGGAACCCATGGCGGTCATCTGTTTGTGATGTAAGTGATTTCTTCCTGAATAAACATTAATCAGCCTATATTTCCCACACAATACATTGACTTTTATAAATAAAGTTTTACTGGAACATAGCTATATTCATCCATTTGCATGTTGTTATCTGCTTCCTTACATCATACAGCAGACTTGTATTTATGACTGAAATTATATGGATCATAAACCCTAAATAAAACTGTTAAGCTCTTCATAGAAAGTTTGATTTTATAAAAATGTTCCCAAAGTGCTTGAAATCAATTTGGTCTAGATATCTTAATAATTCATCAATCCATTAAAAATATAAGTACTAAGGGCCTACTATGCACCAGATGCTTCAGTTGCTAAGGACAGATAAGTAAACAAAAAGATAAAAGCCCTTTCTCTTGGTATCAATTCATTTAATTCTTCACAATGAATACTTGTGTTTTGGACATTATCTCACCATTAAGATACAAAGATGAATATGAGTTTGCCCATATTCTTGAAAAGAACTCTCCATTTAGTTCAGAAAGTGAGCTATATTTGAGAAAATATTATAACGTAAGTTAAGTACTCTATAATAGATGTGTAACAGGAGTATGATGAGTGAGTCTCTGTAACAACTTAAATGGGCAAGATGTTCCCTGAGATTTTCTTTGAACATTATTTCTAGGTACATCTTTTTGAGTGCTTGTGAGGACAGTAAAAGTTGAATCTGTAGAGTGATTAAAGAAAATTGCCCTTGCCAATTGTAGTAATCCTCATCCACTCATTAAAACTTGAATGCAACAAAAACGCTAAGAAATAATTCTCCAGCTTAGATATTTGTCTTCTCCCTTCAGACTTGGACTCAGACCTTACAACACTGACTTATTTAGGTCTGGATTTTTCAGTCTTATAATCCTTTAAGCCTACTCCTTTATTAGTGCTTCATTATTTATGGAAATAATCAATATTCGTTTTATTTATTATATAACACAAACAACTTAGAATATTTATTATATGATGCACACAATTTAGTCTTATATTAAAATATATTGCATATTATAGATGGATATTAATTATTATAAGGAAGCTTGAGTTTTCAGGGAAGTATTTATATATTTACCAGAAATTTGGGTAATATGTATATCAATGGCCAGAATATCACTTTCTCCTAAAAATAAACCTATTAATTCAAGAACTATAAAAGGCACTGTTAGTACCCTGACAAACTTTCCACTCAGGTGCATCTATGCGCTCCAAACTTCCTACCTTAAATAGCTCTTATTTTGCCTAAATTTATCTCTGGCCACAAGAATATGCTCAACACACAGGAATAATGCAGAATTAACACCCCTGAAGCAGCCAACCAATAAAGCAGGAAATGCATAGAAAAATCCATGGACTTGCTCAGTCCCTGGGTAAGACAATTCTGAGGCATGTCCCGTATGGCTTCTGTCAATCTTCAGTGGGACTGAGCCATCAGATTCTACAGTGAATGCTTTCTCTTCAGTGAGTGGTGCTATTTTGGGAGATTGTAGAAATGTTAGAATGTGGGGCCTATACAGAAGAAGTAGGTCACTTGGTGTATATCTTTGAGGGTCTTCAGGCCCTTCCGTCTCCCTGATTTTCATCTACCATGAGAGGAATAACCTCTGCTATAGGCTTCTGCTACCACACATTCTTCCATGTTATGGGCCCAGAATGAATTCAGTCACTTGACAATGGAGTGACCCTTCTGAAACAATGAGACAAAATGTCTTTCCTCCCTTAAGTTGTTACAGTAGGCATTTTGTCAAAGTGACTCAAAAGTCTAACACAGAGCCTCTGCTATCCAAAAACTGCTCATCATTTCACAAATTAAATTCTTCCTCTTCCTTGTCTCATGTTTCTACTCCCCTAGCCATGCTTTCTAGGATTACACTTCAAATAGATTTTTATGTACAAATTCTGCTTCAAGGTCTGATCCCACAAAGACTTAGAAAAAATGCAAAACTTCTTTGAGGAAACGCTCACTACAGCTGTTCATTAGCCATTCATCCATTCATTCAGATACCCTCATCAAATGCAGGCTCTATGGCAAATGTCCCAAGATCACAAAGCTAAATGAATGAATCCCCACCCTGAATGTGCATAAAACCTGACAGAGCAGTTGAACAAGTGACTCACAAATTACAATAAGAAACAGTGAGGAATCTATTAACAGTGTGAGCATGATGCCATGATGTCACCCTATTTGCTGCTGGGGAAAATACCTGAAACATGTTAATGATTCTCAAGATTGGCTTCAACAACCCTTTCCCCTTAAACACAGGACATGTCTCAGTATATCTCATAAGGTTTGCACCAAGTTTTGAAGTCTGTGTATTACAAGTAGATGAAGGGCTTGTGGGAAGTGAAGCTTTCTAGGCAAAAGGAACATAAATAATAGTTTAAAGGTAAGAGTTCACTTAGTGCGCAGAAACCTATAGTAGACAGAACCTAGAGGAAAGGAGACACAATTTAAGTGTGGCTTACAAAAGGCCTTACAAATTTTGCTCAGGAGTGTAAGGATGCAAACTGGGGGGAACTCATTTTTTCCTTACATGAATCAGAGCTCAAAATTAATCACTGTAGTTCAGTTGCCTGTTATGAATCTGCTGTCACTACAAAATTTACTGAATTGATCTTATTCCCTGTTAAAAAAAACATTACTTAGAATCAGTGTGACCATTGTTCACCATGTCTCAACAAAGTTAAGCCATGTATGATGATATATGTCCATAGTCCCAGTTCCTCATAGAGTTGATGCAGGATATTTGTTTAAGCCCAGTAGTTCAAGGACAGCCTAAGAAATGTATTGAGACTTTTATCTCAAATAAATAAGTGGGTTATAATAAAGGTTTTAGTCTTTAGTGAACCTGAATGTTAAAATATTTATATTACTGTCATCCATGCTTTGCAAAGATATTAAATATCTCAACTTTTGTTTCAAAATTCTTTAAAGTATTTCTTATTCACGAATAATGATAGTCTAGAACAGTGGTTCTCAAACTTCCTAATGCTGCAACCATAAAATTATTTTCATTGTTACATCATAACTGTAATGTTTCTACTGTTATGAATCATATTGTATATATTTGATATGCAGGATATCTGATGTACAACCGCTGTGAAAGGGTGGATAGACCCCCCAAAGGGGTCATGACCCATGGGTTGACAATTACTGGTCTGTAGCAAAACTAAAAACATCTGTTCTTTAGTTAGTGTTGCCACTCACCCAAGTATTCAGTTCCATAGTAAGAATACATCAGGGGGAATGGTTTTCTCTTCTTTAGGGCATACTGCTTTCCAGAGTCCAGAATCGCCTGGCATATTGATTTAATTTGTGCTGGGGTCAGTACCTGAATAAAGAAAGATCAAAAAGCCAAAGTCAAAGCAGGACCTCTATCTCTGTCCCCTCAGACATTAAATAACAGGCCTTTAAAGGGCTATCATATATTTAACAAAACTTAGCCAACTAAACTTCCTTCATGTTCTGCAACTGGTTCTCTTTCTTTTGATTCAAGTTTATCTACCTCTTCAGAACATTTAAAATAGACACTTTTGCTGTGATAGGTTGTTATAAAATGCAAAGACCACCATATACATGTTCTATCATTAATCCTTGTCATGGGAACAAGAATTTGCTCAGGAAAGGACAAATGGTGATGCTAATGGATTGTGCTTAACAAAGCTACTACTCCCAACACAACATATGCTACAGGTCTGGCCCACACATCAGGCATCTAAGCTGTGCTTATAAAACCATGCTTCTACAATAAGCTACTGTATGACAAATTTAGAGCAGCCACTTATATTCCCAGAATGAATGCAAAGTCCATTTATGCCAAGAATAAAATCTCTTAAACACCAAAAGGACACTTTCACATTTTGTCCAATCTGTGCATAATCAGTTTTAGGACTAGGAAAGGAGATTAAAATGTTCTCAAGCCTTGAAAGCATGAGGGAGTCTGTTACTATTCTCCTCTATTTTGCACTATGCTCCGTGACCTGTCTTCCCTCAGGGGCTAACTGGATGCTTCCTTTGGTTTGTTTCCTCTATCACCAGGCTTCCTATTATGATGAAACACTTGCCCTCTTGCTGTCTTAGTTCTGCATCTCACTAGACTATCAGTCCCTTGACAGCAAAGATTGTGACATTTCAACATTTTGAATCTCTGGTGCCTAACACAAAAATTGAGGTTGGGGGAGAGAGGGCTTTGGTAACAGAGCCCTCCTTCCTTTACTCCTATCCTTCATCCCTTCCCTCTTCCCCTTCTTTTCACAATCATTTCTTTTTTTTTATTTTTTTCTTATTTTACATATCGATCTCAGTTCCCTCTCCCTCCCTCCCTCCTTTGCCCCCCAACCTCCCATCCCATTCCTCCCCTCCCACTCCACATGTAGGGTGATGCCTTCCAGGAGGGGTCATCTAAATCTGTCAAGTCATTTGGAGTAGGGACTAGGCCCTCCCTCCTGCCTCTAGGTTAAGGGAGTATCCCTCCATGGGGAATGTGCTCCCAAAGTCCTTTTCACAATCATTTCTTAAATGTGTATTTCACTTCATGCAAGCTTATTTTATGTACTGGTACTAAGACAATAAATATGATAGACAATGTCTCTTGCTCTGAGGACACCAAGCTTCCCCAAAGGCAAATATTACTAGAAAATACTGGATAGGTTGACCTGAAACAAATTATCTACAGTCCAGCCTGATTCAATAAATCTAGGATCAAAAAAAAAAGAAAGAAAGAAAAAAAAAAGAAAGAAAGATAGAAAGAAAGAAAGAAAAGAAAAAGAGGAAAGAAGGAAGAAAGAAAAGAAAAGCTCACTGATTTTTGGACTCTCTCCTAAAGACCCATACATCTCATTTATTTGTATCTGTCATTAGATCAACCAATTATTCTTTAAATACAACAATAATAATCAAAGCCATAAATAAGGTACAATCCAGTTTCTGAGTTCCTCAAATCTAGGACTTACTTAGCAAAATAATTACTTAAAGAGGAAACCTGAGTGTGGCACACATGCTATAATCCAAGCACTTGGGAGGCTGGGTCAGGAGAATCTCAAGTTCTAGGTTTGTTTGGCCTAAATACTGATACCCCATTTCAAAATACATTGAAGAGAAAACGGAAAATGTCTATACACTAATCCACCAATTAACATTTACTGGGTTACTATTCTAGTAAGACCCTGACTAGATATCACAGGGAGAGTCTTGAAAGCATGGGACACATTTTGCCCTATAGGGAATTTACTATCTGTTGTTGGCCAAGAGAGGTAGACAACAGTTTGTTAGATTCATGAACCTAGAGAGATGGAAAGAAACATGGACGACATGTTTAAGATGTTATTCTATCCTAGTTTCACTTGCTCAGAAACAATTATATCACGGCTTTCAAGTTCAATGTTCCTTTTACTAGCTACCTGTATTTGTCTCTTGTTACCTCTTTCTTCCTACCCATGAAAACCCTGTCTTCCTATGTATCATCACTGCCACATCCATCCAGATTTGGGTCTTTCCTAAGCCTAACAGCATATTTTTTCCTGAATGACTTTCTGATTCAAAGCTGTAGCGCCCCCCCCCCAAATTAATCTACCATATGAAAACACTCTTTAGGAAGTACAACTGATTTTATACTGAATCCTATTGTTTAAAGTCTTACATCATTAACCTCAAATTCTGGTTCTTTTGCAGAAACTTGCTAAGATCCTTGAAGGTTTTTAACCTAATACTTTTTATCCTGCTTCCATCCTCCTAATTTCCTAGGAATATGTCTTGCTCAGTGGCTATCCACAGGTCTTATCTGTCCTGTAGTGATTCTGTCTGAGTCCACACGACAGACAATTTTTGTGGTAGAAAATGGCCACTGAATAACTAAATTACTACCATTTTCCTATTTGCTTTCCATATTCAGAACTGAAAATTGTCTGAATCTTTCCTCTGTTGAACATATAGTCTTATTCTTCCTGTTTGTTTGGAAGTCAGGAAAAAAACTCAGCTTGTCCTGTGTGTGGTGCCCTCCCCCATTCTTTTCATCCCACTGTTCAAAATAGGGAACGAATTTATAAACTACTCTCTAAAAACCTCGCCTGGTCATGCTTCGTGTCTGGGCGGTTTCTTCTTATCTCACAGAAACACCGTGAAAAACAAAGAGAACACTGGGGCTGCTTGTTCAGCTGGATAGAGGGTAGTTATGCGTGCAGTTCTTTATCTCTGGGAACAGACAAGACCTACCCTTGAGTTTATTGATCAGCAAATACAAACTGAAAAGAGTTCTCCCTAAAAGTCTGTGTGCAGCGAAGCGACATTGAGAAACAGTGTACCTTTCCCCCGCCCCTCCCCCACGCCTCAACAAACAGTACAGAACAAAAGTGTGGAGGGGGGCGGTGAGTCTTAGGGGTAAGGGCTGGGATTTGTTCTCTTGTGTGTCAGCTTTTTCAAACATGCCTTCATTTCCTGTTGCAAGCACTCAGGAAGATGAACAAGTATGTGCACTCCCTCCAAGGAGATGCCCTCAGGGTACACTCAGATATCCTGGACCTAGAAAGCAGCATTTCCAGTATGGAAAGTGACAGGAAGCTACAGAGGAGCTCCCTGTCCATCAGATCATTCCCAAAACAAACCTTCTCCTGTGTTCTTAACACTGAAGGCTTAATGCTGTGTTGATACTTCAGACTTTTTCAACCTCCTTTGCCTATGCTGAATTAAAATAAAGATATCTCAAAAATGCAGCAGCGGGTCTGTGGTAGATTGCTTTAAACAGTTTCATTAGTTAGCTGATTCCCTTCACTGACCCTGTAACATATTCTTATTAGGCTGGCCTCTGAGTATGAAGAGATGAAAGAGCAATAAAACAAATGGTATATGTCTTGGTCCTGCCTGACGGCTATGACTGAACCACGTACAGAGATGACCTTCATTAAGAAAATGAATAAAATGGACTAGGGTGCAAGATGCTTGCCTCACACCACAGTCTCTGTTCTGGCACACAGCCCCCATGAAAGAGCAATCTTTGCTAGCTATATTTCTTTCTCTGGGCATCAGATACTGTTGGCCCTTCCCCTATTGGCAATAACTGGATTTTCAGATAATAGTAATGAAATCCGAGATCTATCAGTGTGCTGAAGCATTCTATGCTATTAAATTCCTCTTTTTAACAATTCAAAATGCATATTCTAAAAGAAATGAAATTGTCAGCAATCATAGTTGATGCTGACAGCAGGTCAGGTGGTAGGGATAGACCCATGCACGGCTGAAACTTAAGTGGAAACATGTAGGAGTTATGGGGTGGAAAGGCTGAGTAAGCCAACCCAAACAGAGAGTGAAAGGAGGCTGGGGCAAAATATACCAGCAGAACAATTGTGTGGAAAGGAACTTAGAGAAAGGTAGCTGGTCCCCCATAACTCTTAATTCATGACAGTTTAAGGAAATCCCCTTTAGAGCTTCCTGTCAAGTTTTAATATAGCACAGGCTCTCATCCATCCTCCCAACTTGAGTTATTTTATAGACCCTCAGTCTCATTGTCTTGCCTCTCCCCAGCAACCCTAACTGGAACACCATAGCTATAAAGACAATGCTTTCTCTATTTACATCTCCATCCTCAACATAAACGCATCAATTCTGCTCCCCACCAGTCTAAATCTTCTCAGGCAAAACTAATAATGATGCCCGAATCTAAGGCATACAATAGAGACTTCAGTCTTTGGCCACTGCCAAAGCTCATTGTAAACATCTGAGATCTCAGCTGCATCTGTTCCTCAAAGTGTGGTCCATGGACCAGAAGTCTTGTCATCATCTATGAATCTTTAGAATTACAGAATACACAGAATCAGAACCTTTTCTTTTCTTTTTTTGAGACAGGGTTTTTCTGTGTAATAGGCCTGGTTATCCTGGAACTCGATGTGTAGATTAGGCTGGCCTCAAACTCACTGAGATCCTCCTGCCTCTGCCTCCCAAGTGCTGGAATTAAAAGCATACATCACTACTGCTCAGCCAAGAAACTGCATTTTAACAAGATCATCAGATGGCGTGAACTCACATTAGGCTTGAGAAGCACAGACTTCACAAGATATTATCTGTGAATTCTTAAAAGTCCCTGATATTAGATGAAGGACTGATGATACTGTATATTTAAATTGCATAAGACGGACTTTCCACATTTTAAAAACATTTTTAAAGATTTTATTTATTTTAATTTAATGCATATGAGTGTGTACCTGAATATATCTCTATGATGTACCACATACATGCAGTGCCCAAGGAGACCAGAATAGGGATGGGATCCCCCTAGGACTGGAGTTACAGACAGTTGTGAGCTGTCATATGGGTGCTGGGATTTAAAGCCTGGTCCTCTGG